TTAGTGTTTCGCCTCAGTGTGGTGGGGTCAGATGGGGTGCAATTCCCACACTGTCTCGTGTTGTCCCCAGCCCAGTTAGTCTTTATGGCTGGCTAAGGGATCACCTGATTCTCTTCCAACCTCCTGTAGGTGATGTGTAGGGACAACCTCCATCCTTGTTCTATTACCTAACACAATGACGCCAAATACAGGAAGGTCACAGACCAGTGGGTGGGAAGTCTTGTGGATCCAGTGGCAGTGGAAGCACCTCAGTGTTGGCAGGGGTCTTCACATGGCTCCTTCAGATCTGGGACTCTAGCATAGCCCCATGTGTCTTCTTAACAGGAATGTCTCACAGGGAGTGAGCATGTGTCCCATCTCCAGTGAGCTATTTATCTTCTTAGCGCCTCCAAATGAGGTCATCAATCTGTGACTTGAGTGACAGGCTAAACTCCCCCTCTTCACTCTTAATAATCTCAAATTGACAACACATTATGTAACTACCACAACACTCTACCAAGTCCTCAGTTTACCACATTTGTATTTGTACCTATTCCAAACAAAGGTGACCCAAGAGAATGTTCAAATTATAGAACAATACTAATATTGCATGCAAATCCAATTTTGCTGAAGACCATCCAACAATAGTTAGAGCAGTACAGTGACAGGCAGCTGTCAGAAATTCAGGCCAGGGTTATCATTGCTAATGTCACATGAATGTTGGCTGAAAGTAGAGAATACTAGAAAGATGCTTACTTGTGTTTTATTGACTGTGTGGACCATAATAAACTATAGATAACCTTGAAAAGATTAGGAATTACAGAAGAAATTGTGCTCATCTGGATCCTATATGTGGATCAGAAGGCCATTCTGTGAACAGAATCAAGGAATACTGCATGGCTTAACCAAAACAGGTGTGTGGCAGGGTTGTAACCTCTCATCATACTCAATCTGTATGCTGAGCAAATCAGCAGAGAAGCTGGACTACCTGAAGAAGAACCCAGTATCAGGATTGGATGAAGTCTTCATAGGCATTTTGAAAATGCAGATGAAATCCTTGCTTGCTGAAAAGTGGGGACATACAACTCTTGCTGATGAAGATCAAGGTTTGTAGACTTTGACATGGATGGATTATGACTTCATGTAAACAAAATTAAAATCCTTCCAACTTTACCAATGGGTAATAAACAAAGAAAGAATTGAAGTTGTCAAGGATTTTCTTTCACTTGGATCCACAATCAATGCTCAGGAAAGTAGCAGTCGAAAGATCCAACAACACATTGCATTGGGTGAATCCGCTGCACAAGACTTATTTAACGTGTTGAAAAGCAAGACTGTTTAAGGACTACTATGCGCCTGACCCAAGCCATGGTATATTTATTATTTTTTATTGTTTTATTAGGGGCTCTACAACTCTTATCACAATCCATACATACATCAATTGTGTAAAGCACATTTGTACATTCATTGCCCTCATCATTCTCAAAACATTTGCTCTCC